GTGGTGGTGGTGGTGGTGGTGGTGGTGGTGGTGGTGGTGGTGGTGGTGGTGGTACACGCCTTTAATCCCAGCGCTTGGTAGGCAGAGGCAGTTTGAGACCAGCCTGTTCTACAAGAGCTAGTTCCAGGAGAGCCTTCAAAGCCATAGAGAAACTCTGCCTTGAAACACCCCCCACACACACAAAAAGAAAAAAGAAAACTTGAAACAAGAAGGGGTGTACCATCTTAAGCTGGTTGTGCTGAGCTCTAGCCTCTCGGCTTAGTTGGAGATACATTAGTTCAAAACTCAAAGGGTCTGCACCTTAGGACCAGCTCTCTGCCAAACATCCACAGGAGCATGGTCTCACAACTCAAAGAACCTGTTTCAGAGGTTTTCTAATTTTCTCCCAGCTGCTAACAAAATACTGCAGCCAGTCAAATACATTTTCTGAACACATACATCTGGCTGCACTAAATGGAAGTCATTTATTTGTTCCCATAGTTACATGACTCTTTCAGAGTTATCTTCCCTAGTTCTCTTGTTTTGCAGGTAAGGAATTTGCAAGGGAACTAAAAGGCACCCTTCCTCCTGATATTTCCTGATAGGGAACTTTATTAGCAAATGCACCAACTTAGGGTGCTGGCGCGTTGGAAATGCTTTTGAAAGCCAGATCTCTTACTTTATTGGATCAGACTCATGCGTGTGATTATCAGTGATATTAGCTCTCTGTTTCAGGAAGTTTGTTTGTCTGAATGACAACATTGACCACAATCATAAAGATGCCCAGACAGTGAAGGCCGTGCTCAGGGACTTCTATGAATCCATGTTTCCCATACCTTCCCAGTTTGAGCTGCCAAGAGAGTATCGGAACCGTTTTCTTCATATGCATGAGCTGCAGGAATGGTAAATTCTGGTTTTGCATATATGTGTGTGCCTGTATATCTACATATATATTTATATCTGGATTTTAGGTTGCTGACATTTCCTTAATGTTTTACCTGCTGTGTAATTTATTTGGGAAAATACAGTTACAGTTTTATTAAGCATTTAAAAGATATTTATTGGTGTTTCAAGAGATTTGAGAAAATATGTGACTGGGCTTTTATAATTTTACTGAATGAAACTCCTTTTATTCAGTTGTTTACTGATCAATGTCTATTGATCAATGTTCACTTGAACAGCAGCACTGATTTGAAAGAGCTTGTTGTGTGGTGCATAATGAGAGGCACATGAAATGAGCATGGGCTGACCAGAACCAATGGAAACTCCGTAGCTAATGTCTGAAAGATTGACATCTGGTAAAGCACTGTTTGGAAGTTGCCTGTTACACTTGGGAAGGATGAAGACAAGAGAAAATAATAAAAATTTAAGTGGAGGTCATAGAATACACCTTACCTTTTTTGAGCACACAGTTCAGGGGCATGAATATTCATGGTGCTATGCAGCATTGGTCGAGTTTGAAGACCATTTCATCACTGCCAAAGTATCCCAGAGCCCTGGAGCAGTCATTTCCTGATCACTTCACCCTCAGCCCCTGGTGACCATTCATTTGCTTTCTCACTGAATTTGCCTGTTCTGGATGTGTAAGGACATGTGCCATGTGACCTTGTGTGTCAGATGTCACTTTAGGGGAATTGTTTTCTTCAGTGATAAGGATCAAACCCAGGGCCTCCTGTGTGCTAGTCAAGTGCTTTACAGCCAGGATATACCCTGAGCCTTTGATTTTTTAAGACAGGGTCTCTCATTATATAGCTCATGCTGATCTGGAATTCCCTTTGCAGCCCAAGCTGGTCTGCAGCTTGTGATCTGAACCTTGGCTCAGCCTCATGAGTGCTGGGAGTAATTTGCTCACACTAAAGTAACTGGCAAGTGAGAGATCGAGCCTGCCTCTCAAGTTTACACATTCTAGTATGTTCTGTAGCTGCTGCATGTGCTTCCTTCATATTTGACTTACTGCCATGAAGTCAGGAAACTTCATCTTTGAATTTATGAAGACCTTTAACCCTTTGCCTGTCTCACTTTGGTAGGTGCAGGAACCCAAAGATTAAGGATATATAATGCCAACTTTGAGGTGCTTGAATTCTACCCAGAGTGGTATGCACCAGATAGGATATATTGGTGGTGGCAGCAAGGTTTGTGATGATATTGTTGTCCTGGGAATGGAACCACTGATTCTTTTGGGGAAAGATAACGTTTGGACTTTATTTTGTCCCTATGAAACATGGCTCTCACCCCAAAGGGAATAAAAGTTTATTCTTGAACCAAATGTGAGTGACCATGGCCCAGGAAATGAATTCAGGTTTCCCAAATAATGCGTTTCTCTGTGGAAAAGGCTTTATGAGGTTTCTGTGGTTATTAAACAAAAGAAAGTCATTAGTAAAAGAACTTTAGAGATAACTGATTAGAAACATCAGGTAGGTTAACAGCTGTCTGCAAAAATACAACTCTCATGTCAAAGTAGGTAAGTTTATTCCGGAGCCAAATAAGAGTGGCCATGCCCTGGGAACATAGAATTAAGTTACCTCTAATTCCATGTTCCAATGTGGTAATAGTTAGATGAAGTTGTTTTTTTTTTATAATAACAGAACAAAGAAAGTCATAAATAAAGGCACCTTCCAAATATGTGGTGGAAATATTAGATTGATGGATTAAGACAAAGCTGAGAAATGTCTGCTATAGGCCTTGATGCTGTCTGCTGGCCTCAGGGAATGAAGAGCAGTGGATGGAGCCTAAGGGACTGTTGGGAAATTGGCAGGTGTTTGGCCTGTCTTGACAACTGGAAAGAGCTTGGTGGGTGCATAAATGAAACCGTGGACTCCCTGCTTCTGTCTGTTCATTTGTATAAGGAGAAGCTGTGAGAGATTGTGGATTCATCTTACATACACAGCTTCTCACTGTGTTCAGTTTCCAGGAGCTGCAAAGACAGTTCTTGACATGCTTCCAAGTGTTAATTCCCCCAGTGCAATGACTTTATCTCAGTGGCACAGCTGAGTAAGTGGTGGGCTTAAAGGTAGTTTGAGCTTATTTTTGTGTGTGGCACCTTCTAAGTAGTTGGCCATGTCAAGATGAAGCTGAATATCTCCTTCCCAGACACCAGCTGTCAGAAACTCATTGACCTGGACAATGAACACAAGCTTTGTACTTTCTATGAGATGTACTTACTGATGCTCTGGGTAAACAGTGGATGGTTTATGTGGTCCAAATCAGAAGTGGGAATGACAATGACAAACAAGGTTCTCCCATAAAGCAAGTTGTCTTGGCCCATGGCAGCATGTGCTTGCTGTTGAGTTCTTGTTATAGACCAGGAGAGGAAGTGTCAGTCTGCTCAGGATGCACTGTGGATGCCAGTATGAGTGTTCTCAGCTTTGTTATTGCAAAAAGGAAAAGAAACAAAGGGAAAAGGGGAAGAGGGCAAGGATGTTCCTAGGTTAAGGTTAGACTGAGGGATACTATTGTGCCTCTAGGTTGGGGCCTAAAAGATCTCACAGGATCCAAAAGCTTTTCAGTTTCTCTGAAGATGATTATGTCTGCCAATATGTTGTCAGAAAGCCCTTAAACAGAAAAGAGAAGTCCAGACCAGAGCACCCAAGAGTCAGCATCTTGTTACTCCATGTGTCCTACAACATAAATGCTGGTGTTTGCTCTGAAGAAACAACACACTAAGAAAAACAAGATGGCTGACTGCCTGCCTCAGCCTCTTGAATGCAGGATACAGTTTCAGCTAATTTTTTTAAGTTAGTTTTTTTTTAAATTTATATTAGATGTTTTTGTTAGCATGTACACAATAATGTGTTTTATTATGTATTTTAGCATTGTACACTCCATTATTTGTTCTGTCCCCCCACTCTCCATCCCTATCTCCCTGTCCTCTTGTTGGTCCCCTTCTTTCCTTCATTAGTACCCCTTATTCCCTCATGATATATGTATTCTTTTAGCTCCTATCTCCCCCTCCCCCATCAGGTAGGAGTTTTTCTTCACTCCCCATGAATCTTTTTAGCTTCATAAGCTAGGTACACACAGGAACATATGCAGATTAAAATCTAGGATCCACATATGAGAGGAATATGCAGTATTTGTCTTTTTGAGTCTGACTTTTTCTCTTGAGAATTTCCAGTTGCATCCATTTTCCTGCTAATGTCATGATTTCCTTTTTTGTTATGGCTCAATAAATCCCATTGTATGTGTGGATCATATTTTCTTTTTCCTTCACCTGTTGACAGACATCTAAGCTGCTTCTGTGTCTTAACTACTGTGCATTGGTACGCATGGCTGTGGTGGTGATCCCACACACATTAGAGTCTACTGAGCTGGCTGTGTCTTAGCTACCATGAATAGTGCAAACGTACACTCGCGTGCGTGCGTGCACGCATACTCACGCACACTGCACACAAACACATACACAGACACACACACACACACACACACACACACACACACACAGTTGTGATGGTGATCCCACACACATTAGAGTCCATTGAACTGGCTGTGTCTGGTCACGTGTGGAAGAATAGGACTTAAACTAGAAAGTCATCTATTCCCGAAACTAGTAAGAACCTGGGACTAGGCAAAAGCCCAAGTGTAGTAGGTATTGGCTTATCTTTTAAGCATTTTTTTATTGAATGTTCTTAACAGTTTATTATTTCCAAAGTATAGATGAGAAACTGTTGCACTCCCTCTCTCTATTCCCAGCTCTTGTGTTTTATGTCCCTTTCATTCTTCCCTCACTTTTGCTTTATTCCTTTTTCTTCTCGTTGCCCTAAGACAGCTTGCCTCAGCTAAAACTGTACTATGTGCTTTACTTGTCTGTCTGTCTTGTGCACAGCCTCCATTTTTACCCTGATTGTATGACACACCTGTACCCCCACATTTCACCCACTTTCCTGAGAACTTCATTTCCAGAGTCGCCACAGACCCTGACAGCTGCTTTCCTGTGGCTCCGCATGTCCCAGAGCTCTCATGGGCCCTGCTCATCCCTTCTGTAGGACTTTGGGTGACTGTGCCCGTCTGCCACTGTTGTTTTCCCCTTTTCAGCCAGACGTGTTCCTTCTCCCTCAAAGTGAAGGGAAAATGGTACCTTATTGGTGCAGCTGGCCCCATTTGTCTAGGGTTTTCTATAAAACTTTATTTTGATAACACATGTTTCTAGCCACCCGATTGATGGCATGTCAGTGACTCTACAAGTTTCTAAACACTTTCAAGCAGAAACTTAATCTTGTTTATTCCTCCATATCCAGAAATTTTTTCTGAAGTAAATGAATGTGAATGAATAAATTTTAAAAATGTTATTTTAAGGTCTACAAGTACTGTTCTTTGGAAGCCGAGGAAACATTTACAGTATTTATTATAAAGTAAAAGATCTTTAAAATATTAAACGTGTCATAGTACAGAAAATACTTTCTCCTTAGGATATTGTAACAGAAAACTTTAGACCTTAAAACCAATCCAGAAAATCTTGAAATAGATATATTTTCTTGTTTTTTATGTTGTTCATGTGTGTACTATAATATCAGTGTTGAAGCATGTCTTCTTCAGACATATAAATAACAATAAATACTTCTATAATAACCAAAAAATAAAATAAAAGATAAGAGCTTGTGTTAGAAATGTGTATTTTATTAATTTTTAGGGTTGACTATGGATAGTATCTTTTTGCTTTTCAATATGCACAGTATGTTTTTGTAAAACTCAGTGAACGATTCTTATGTCTCCAAACAGGAGGGCATACCGAGACAAGTTGAAGTTTTGGACCCATTGCGTACTAGCAACATTGATTATATTTACTATATTCTCATTTTTTGCTGAACAGGTAAGTTTTCTGTATTTTACATAAATCGTAAGCACTCTTTCTGGGTAGACTGTATCAGCACCTTTTAGAAAATGATATAAATTCAGACCCATAGTCAGGTGTAGAGTCCTAGAACTCGGGAGGCTGAATCACAAGCTTGAGGATAGCCTGGCCTACTTAGAAGCTGTGTTGAAAGTCTGCGCGCACGCGCGCACGCGCACACACACACACACACACACACACATGCACACACCAAACAAAGAAGAAAAAGGAAGGTAAAACGGTTTCACAAACAGTACATTTACCTTTTTCCTCTTTGCTTCAGCCATCCATGTGCCCAGCATGCAAAGTCATACCCATTCAGCCAGCCTAGTGATGCTTCATTTATTTCTCTTGTCTTCCTTTTTACTTACAAACTCAGTGGGTTAACCGTGGACCCCAAATTATGACTGAAAAGTTCTATTTCTAATCCTAACTTTGCCTAGAGTCATTATCCTGTATTAAATTTTCTTCCTCTGGCCTTCCTAGAGAAGCCAGTGTCTCCTCCTCAGATACTCATGGTCCTGTATGTCACTGTACACACCAGCAGTCCCTAGAGAAGCCAGTGTTTCTTCCTCAGGTACCCATGGTCCTGTATGTCACTGTACACACACCAGCAGTCCCCTTACATTCCTCTGAATTGCCAGATTGTCCTTCCCCCTCTGTCACATCCTTGTACAACTGGGCTTACTTCTGTCCACCTGAGCATGCATCCAACCTCCTTGATGAGGGTCCAGAAATAGGAAGATGTAAGGGCTGATAATAAAACGATAAGAGAATCTTCACTGAACTATAGTGTGAAATACTGTGAAGAAAAAGACTGAAGGGGAGAAATGAGAAATGGGCCCATCTCACTGGTACAAGCCCAGAGGCCTCCTCAGCCTCCACGGGAGGCGAGTGCTGAGTGGAGCTGCTCTGCTTGTCACTCACAGGAAGTGCACACTGAACAGGAAGAGTGTGAGTATTGAGAGCTTTAGGATAAATGATGGCTTCCTGCCACAAACCAAATGAGTGAGCAGGACAGTATGGCAGCTGGACCGTCACCCGCCTATCAAGTAGCAAGACCTTTCTTGGTCCTGGTTGCCATGTTCTCGTAGAGGGGGAACCACAGCATCACCTGCTTTTAGAACATGGTTCCCCCAGGAACTTAGCAGTGTGCTTGCAGATGTTTCAAGCTGAAGGAGAGGGACTTGGCTGAGGTGAGCCACAGGGATTGTTGTAAGGAAACAAAGACCAAGCTTTCTCTTGTGTCATTTTTTTTTTTTAAGATTTTATTTATTTATTATGTATAGTCTTGTGCCTGCATGCCAGCAGAGGGCACCAGATCTCATTCAGGGTGGTTGTGAGCCACCATATGGTTGCTGGGAATTGAACTTAGGACCTCTGGAAGAACAGTCAGTGCTTCTAACTGCTGAGCCACCTCTCCAGCCCCTCTCTTGTGTCATTTGTACTAGAAGAAGACAGGGAGCTAGAAAGATAGAAGGGAAGGAGAAGGAAAAGGAAGATTGCCTTCGTGTTTCTCCAGCACCCTGCACTCTACCTGCGCAGGGTCTTTCTGTCCGTCTTCACCCTTACCATCCACCCTCAGTCCAACAGCAAACACTGCTCCTACCCCAGCTCCCAGGCCCAGCCTCTTGAGCTGAAGGGAAATGGCTGATCCTGTGTAGATGAGAAGAGGAAAGTTAATCTCAACATTAGGGATCCAAATGGAAACTGCAAAAACATAGTTGGGTTTTTCCCCTCATAGCGGTTTCACAATAATGATTAGGTTTTCCATTTCAGATATAGCACATGTAACTGTTTTTGAGAAAACAAATACTTAGTCACTTTCTAAACGACACATTTAGAAAGGAACTTCAAAAGTCCCGGTGGCAGTGGTGCACACATTTAGCTTCAGCACTTGGGAGACAGAGACAGGTGGAGCTCTTCGTGTTTGAGGCCAGCCTAGCCTACTGAGCAAGTTCCAGAACAGCCCCCAAAGCTTCAGAGAAACCCTGCCTTGAAAAAAAAATGAACTTCACAATAATTTTTTGTTTATTTTTATGTGTGTGGGTGTTTTGCATGCCAAGTTGCTATGTTCCATGTGTGTGCAAGTGCCAGCAAAGGCCAGAAGACGGCATTGGATTCCCTGGAATTGGAGTTTAAGACTGGTGAACCACCAGATAGGTGCTGGAAATCAAACCCTTGTCCTCTTCAAGAATAACTAGGCTCTTAAGTGCTGAGCCTTTTTTCTAGCACCTAGAAATTAACTCTTTGCATTGCAACCCATTCATAACCATTGTCTTTATTGTTGATAAATACAGAAAAAATTGTCAGGATTTTAATGTAGTTTTTCTTAATAATTTAACTTTATATGCATTGGTATAAAGGTGTCATCCCCTGGAACCAGAGATACAAATAGTTATGAGCTGCCATGTGGGTGCTGGGAATTGAACATAGGTCCTCTGGAAGAACAGCTAGTGCTCTTAACCACTGAGCCATCTCTCCAGCCCCTAATGTAGTTTTTTTTTTTAACTGTCTTATAAAAAAGTCTATTCAAACCCAGAATCAGCGGTCTAATGATTAAATGGCAGCAGTTCCTTTCAATTAAAAAAAAAATCAAATGAAACTGGACAAAGGTCTTGAAAATAAATGCCCTTAGCAATAGCTATATAAAGTCTCACATTACAGATCTTTGAAAAATGAACCATGGGCCAACATAATTTTAGGCTTGCATCTTTGTGGGCACATGCTTAAGCATATTGACTGTAGCACTAGGAATAACTAGTGATTGCTTTTGTTTGGGGGAAGTGTGAAGGGAACTTGAATCAGGAAAGTGTGGGTCACAGAAGGAACGCCTGTTTCACCAATAGTCTTTTGTTACAATAAATCTTTCTGCCAAAGCCGCCTGAGCCCTACCGCCACATGGGCAGTCACCACAAGCCACCTGAGTTCTGCCCACCCAGTGGATGGACAAAATAATACAGAGACATATTAGGTACAAAGCTGCTTGGCCAATGGCTAGGATTTCTCATCTCTTAACTCAGTCTTATTTATCACAAATCTATATATTTTATAAGACTTATCTTTATAGAGGATGCGTTTTGCTGACACCCTCTCTTGCTGGTTTCTCACATCTTGCCGCTGGAGGAGTCGAAGGGGAAAAAGGGGACACTTCCTCTTTCTCCTTGCTTAAATATGAGTCTCCTTGCTATGTCACTTCCTGCCTGGATCACCACTTCTCTACTACATTTCCCAGAATCCTCTTTGACTCCTAGTCCTGTCTTACTTGCTGTTTCATTGGCCAAACAGAACTTTATTCAATAATCAATAAGATAAACATACACAGTACATTCCCCATTAGTCTTTTATCAATATAGACAACTAATATTTATTTTCTGTTCTTCATCATGTAGATAATTGCCCTTAAGCGGAAGATATTTCCCCGGAGGAGGATACACAAGGAAGCTAGTCCAGATCGAATCAGGGTGTAGAAGACCTTCATTTGAAAATCACCTACCTCAGCGTCTTCTGAACATCTCACACCTTACCATCACAGGGTTGTCACCATGATGTGACACACAGACACAGGGGTGTCCCCGAGATGTGACGCACAGACAAAGGGATGTCCTCATGATGAGACAGACAGCCTGCTTGGAAGAAGGGACAGCGTGCAGACATGTTCTTCTGCAGCATGAAGAGCCTACTGCCCTGGAATTAATCAGCACACTGGGAACCTGTGCTGACAGCTGTACAGCTTGTACTTTTAAAGGATTTGCCGAAGGACCTGTCAGCTTTTGATGAACCCTCACTGACAGGCTGCCGGTTTCCTACCACCATCACTGCAGCCTAAGAAGCCAGGCCAGCCTGGGAGCAAATGCTGAGGGACCCCAGGCTTTGCATTCCAAAGGCCACCAGCATAATTTTTCATTTCCTCTTCCTTTTCTCCATTGCTCATTTTTGAAAATAAGTAGCTACTAAGCTAGTTATTCTCTCTTCTGAAAATAACGAATCAGGATGCCCAAACTTGTTTGTGTAGATCTTATTTAAATAATGTAGAAGTATCACTTCCTTTTAGCACATCTAAATTATTGACTTTATTAACATTCAGGTGGTCTCCAAACATGTTTGTGTAGATCTTCTTTAAATAATGTAGAAGTATCACTTCCTTTTTGCATATCTAAATTATCGACTTTATTAACATTCAAGTGGTCTTGAATCACTAATAGCTACTGAAGAGCTCGGGACTGTTGCTGCAGTACTTTGTTTGACTCAGTCCTCTAGGATACTGTGATTTCGTCAGCAGGCCTAATTGCAAAGGGCTAGTATCAAATACCAATGCTAATCACCAGATGTAATTATGTCTTGGAAATGTATATACTCAAACAAAAGTGCCTCACTTCAGAAATGAGGAGTGCTGGGAGCACCAGCTCAGGACTGTGGTGTGCAGGTGAAAATCCACCGTATCTTCCAACAGCTCACTCTCAGCTTGCTTTGTCAGAGCAGCAGTCAGCCACTTTTTCTATAAAAGAACAGAGAGTAAATAACTTGAGACACATCTGTCTTTGTCACACAGGTTTCTTTGCTTAATATTTTTGTTTTGGGGTGTTTTATTTTTTTCAACAACCCAATAAAAAGATGAAAACCAGCTTTAGGTTGCAGCTATAAAAAAACAAGCCCCAGCCAGACTTCACCCAAGACTGTTGTTGGCAGACCGGAGAACCAGCCTCATTTTTACATATGATAAACAAACCCTGACATCAGCCATGCTCTGTTATATCATCATACAGTGGTTTTGTGGAGACGTGATTCCATGAATCCGTTTTGAATTCTGACAGATATCTTTGATCGTGATTTCAATAGTATTCTTCCCAAATGGCACACATTTTTGTAAAGAGAACTTGAAATGTAAATACTGAGTTTGTGCTGTAAATTTTGTGTATTTCAAAAACTGAAGTCTCATAAAAAAGATCACATTTATTGATTTGAGGGTTTTTATTATTATTTATTGTGCATGAATGTTTTGCCTGCATGCCTGTCTGTTCACCATATGTGGAAATCAGAAGAGGGTTTCAGATTCCCTGGAACTGGAGTTACAAACGGTTGTAAACCACCATTTGGGGGTTGGGGATTGAACCCACGTCCTCTGGAAGAGCAGCTAATGTTCTTAGCCACTGAGCCATCTCTCCAGCCCTATGCTTTGATCTTTGAGTCTTTGTTACTATTGTCCAGATTCAACAGTCTTGAATGGTGGTCTGCGTGGTGTGTTTGGCTCTCAGGCTCTGCAGTTAACACTATAAAGTGTGAAGTAATGTAAGGAAAGGGTAGTATTACGACACACTAGAGAATGTTGCTTTGTGGGATGGGGGAGAGATTCTAAGTGGAAAATGTCAAAAAAAAAAAAAAAAGATCAAGGGATGGGGGTGCTCACCTTTAATCCCAGCACTTGGGAGGCAGAGGCAGGCAGATCTCCAGCCTGGTCTACAAAGTAAGTTCCAGGACTACACAGTGAAACCCTGTCTTGTGGATATCTGGGTATTATTTAAAAGTTGAGAATTTACTTTGGAAAAGATACAGATAACATTTGGATGTAATATAACTTCTGCAGTTAGATGAGCATAATCTTTACCTAATGAGAAGTTTGGTAATAGTGGATAATAAAATGCAAGCATTCGTAGAATCTTTTACCTAATGATTCAGAGGGTCATTACGATAGAATTTGATGAACATTCAGTGTCCAGAAATTCTAAACCTTAGGACCATTCATTCAAGTGAAATTCTATAAAAAATTAGAATGTGTCTTAAGCCCACTTGTGGTACAAAAAAATAAAACATAATATGCTCGTAATCCCTGCATTCAGGAGGCTGAGATAGGAGGTTTGCATGTGTTCAAGCCCAGCCTTGGATACATAGTTCCAGGTTGCCTATGCAATGAAGAGACCTTATCACAAAACCAACACCACAAGGAATAATAGGCAAGCATGAGCGATTTATGAAGAATAGAAATGTATTTCCTAGTAGTTCTAGGGTTGAGAGGTCCAAGGTCAAGGTGCTGCCTGGCTCAGTTGTCTGCTGAGCACTGCTCTGCTTCCAGGGTAACCCCTTGAATGTTGTGCCCCTCAAAGTGAATAATACCTTGTGCTGACAAGGCAGATAGCAGAAAGACAAAAGGGACAGATTCTTTTCATCAAGCCTTTTATATAAGCACAACTAATCTTGGTCACCAAGGTTCTGCCCTTGTGAGTTAATCACTCCCTCTTAACACCATTGCAGGGGTGATTAAATTTGACTGCAATCCACCTGCCTCCTGAGTGCTGGGATTATAGGTGTGTGCCACCGTGACCACCTTACGTATTTATTTTGTGTGTGGGTGGAGGAGGCATATACACACCACAGCACTTTCAGAGGTCAGAGAACAACTTATCAGTTGTTCTGTGACATGGATCCTGGGGAACAAACTCAAACCATCAGACTTGGCAGCATGTGCTTTTACGTGCTCACCACCCCTGGTTGTGTTTTTTCCCAGACTGGCATGGTGGTGGCACACATCTGTGATTTCGGAATCCCGAAGGACAAGGCTGGAAGGTAGTAAGTTCAAGGTCTACCCAAACTCCTTAGCCAAGGGGAGGGAGAAAGAGTATGAGAAAACACCCCAGATCTAGTGATGAAGGGGGCTTCTTGTTAATCTAACTGCTCTTCCCACTTACTCTAGTTCCAGCCCCATCTTTTTAAAGATTTTATTTATTTATTTTTGTATACATCATTCTGCTTCCATGTATATCTGCACACCAGAAGAGGGCACCAGATCTCATAACAGATGGTTGTGAGCCTCCATGTATATCTGCACACCAGAAGAGGGCACCAGATCTCATAACAGATGGTTGTGAGCCACCATGTGGTTGCTGGGAATTGAACTCAGGACCTCTGGAAGAGCAACCAGTGCTCTTAACCTCTGAGCCATCTCTCCAGCCCTCCAGCCCCATCTTAAAATTGTATTAAATAGTAGACAGTTTTTCTACTCAAGTCTCCACAAAATTCACTGGTAGGCACTGAAATGTGCTTGGGTTGGAGGGGGCAGATGTACCTTAAATCTCTTAAAAAAGCATACCAGAGACATAGCCTATGTGATGGTCAGTACTGTCTGACAAGATCTAGAATCTTCCAAGAGGCAAGCTACTAGGCACACCTGTAAGGCATCATCAAGGTTAGGTAAACTGTAGTGGGGAGACCCATCCTACATGTGGGCAGCACCTTTGTGGCAGCCCAGACATGAGGAAGTCTGAGGAGGAACTCTGAATTTTGCCAGCTTGTAATTGTCTCTGCTGGTAAGTGTGTCTACTATGTTGACAGCTTTCTTACCCTATGGCTGCCCCTGCACTGATACTGCTACTGCTGCCAGCATCCTTTGTTGACACCTGAACCCAGCTTCTTCAACCTTCTATCCGACACAGACTGCAGATAATTGGCTCTCCAGGAATATCCCCAGGGCCTGCAGTGCCACATTGGAACTGCCAAGGCACCCAGCCTCATGCACTGAATAGTCACTGTGTAGACAGCGTTGTTAGACTGCACAGAGCAAGCGGTGTAAGCAAGTCTAACAAGGCCCTGTTTATTATATATTCATTCCACCAGTGACCTTCCTCCAGAGGCCCCTGCCAGGACTGTTGCTCAACTGTCCATTCCTGCCTCCCTTTCTATGCCAGTTCTATCCCCAGAATGAAAGCATGCCTCCTAACTCACGCCCTTCCAAGAGTCCAGAAACTCCATTTCTGGTTTAGCATGGAAAATCCTGATTGGGAATGAATACAGAGATGAGTTTATTCTGGGCTGTCTACTTCTGGCCTGAGAAAGGGAGCCTTTCACCCAGAGGAGGCTTGTGAAGCCCACAAGAGCACTGCCCTCCTGTGAAGCAGTGTGTGTGTGTGTGTGTGTGTGTGTGTGTGTGTGTGTGTGTGTGTGAAATCCCCCATTTTTCTTTTCC